GCCAAAATGTTTCATAAAAACGTGTCAGTTTTAATGAAGTTTTCAATGGGAATGTTCTAAATATCCTGGCTTGTCTATTTAGTCATTTCCTAATGAGTGAGTGAAACAAAGAAAGGAATGGGAAGAGAAATACATCCAAAAAAAAAAAAATCTTTCTTTTTTTGGCCCATAAACAGTTATATGTAATTTTATGACATAAAAATGTTATGGAGAGTTTTGTTTTATTTCCAGGGAGGAACAAAAGAGACATCTCAAACCATAAATATTTTCATAGACTAGGAAATAGCACGTTGCCCTTAGGTATGACATTTTGATTTCTTCCTGCAAACAATGCAGTAAATCTGTAATAAGGAATACATAGGAAAACTTTTTTTTTTTCTCCAGCTTGAATTCATTAGTAGTCACAAAAGCAAGTTCCATTTGACTGTGATTTTTATATCTACAATTTGTTACATATATTGTGTTGGCCTATATAAATCAACAATTTAGAGAAAATAAGCAGTGCTAACAAACATAGCAAACACAAAAGACTGTGAGGATTATGATCAATGACATTTCAAATATCAAATATATTGACTACATACATATATCAGGTACCAGATATATTACATTCAAATATACTTTAATATCATGTTTATACTGGTTTCTACCAAAAAAAAAATGATTTAAGGACTAAAAAAAATCAAATTTTAATTCAGGATTTTGAATTTTCCATTCCTGGGTAAGAAGAAGGAACAGAAATTATCTATAAGGCACTACATGTAATCCCCTATAGCAGCTAACAATTCAGTAGGTGCAAGGACTATATGAATTTCCCTTGATCTTCTCAAGAGCCAAGAAATTCAGCATATAATGGCTGATCTTCCTGCCTCTAAAGATCTACAATATGAGCAACTGTTTGCTGCAAACTGTGTCCATGGTTCTTCACAATGTTCAAAGACACTAGATGTCCAAGGATGTCTAGTATGTCAAAAATCACATCCCAAAATTTTAGGATTAACTTAATTTAGGTTTTATAGCAGAAGGTCAGAAACTGGAGTTAAGACATGTCAGAGGTAGAGAACAAATGCCATAAGTCTCTGTAGTAATTTTAATATGTTAAATAGAATTCCTGTATAATCCATGGAATACTATCTTATTCTTCATTACAAACGAAAAAAATATATATATATTCAGTGGCTCTCTAGTCAGAGCTGGAGGAAAGTAACCTTCCTAGTTGACATTTGGCAACTGGTTTTACCTTCAAAGTCACAAGTACGATATTGTAACTTTTGAAAATGAATCAATACAGCATACATGTACATTTGAGTCATTACTCAGATTTTAAGCTGAGGTAAACTAGCATAATGTAGAGCTAACCATCTAGAAAATGAGAGCACAAATAAATTTGCATAGCTTTCATAATTAATAATACAATATAAATTGCAAATTGCCAAAATTAACAACAAATAGGAATGGTTTATAGAATAATAATTGTTCCCTGACATAATCTACAAATAATTTTGCAGGGTAAAAGTAGTAGAGAATTTTGCATCGTGTTTGCAGACAATTTGAGAAAAAAAAAAAAAAAAAAAGGAAAGGAAAAATTGACACATCATTTATTCATTCTATGTTGATCTGTTCAGTTTAGCTGATAATACAGCAGAGACATTTTCTATTGGCTTTTTATAGTGCAGTGATGTAACGCATGCAGCAGAGAAATGAGGAAGGCCATTTCTTGGCCACATTTTTTTTTAAACTAACAACTGTGTAGAGTTTCTTGAGATTACCCACACTGTTTACAAGGTGGTATATAAATCACCTATAAAAACATCTGTGAAGCACAGTATCTGCTAAATGTTAGTCGAGAATCGCTTCCTTTCAAAGTGATTATTGAACCACAGTTAAAACATCTTATAAAAACAACTATTTTGGAGAAGACTTACATCTTTCTACTGCTATTCCGTTACATACTTTAAAGAGTTATTTTTAGAGGAAATTTCAATATTGCCAAATAATTTTTTATCTAATTATAGATGCCTATGAGATCTAGGAATAAAACATTATTGGTATTATTTATATTTCTACAGTAAGGAAAGATAATGTCCAGGACGGGCTTTTAAAACTATTAATGAGCTCTGGCAATGTGAAAAAGAGATGGATTAGGTAGATGTAATGAGATATGATTAAAGGGTGTAGCCACTGAAGGGTGTTGGAGAAATTCTTTTCAGAAAGAGTATAATTAGTGTCTGATAAAAGTACTTAGTAGATGAGATTTTTTTAAGAAGAAAGGTTAAGATAAACACATACCATATGACAAACCTGTTTAATTTTTTTTCCCTTTGGTTCTTTGCATACTCAATAATCTGTTGAAGTTTTATACATAAATAACATTTGTTGAATGCTTGATGAAACATCACAAGACAATTAAAGGGGTTTTTATTGCAAAAGATAGAAAGCAAAGAAAGTGTTGAAGTGTCCTATTGCATTTCAATTATGCATTTTTTTTTGATTTATGGAACAGATAATAACATGCAACCTTTTTCTGAAATTAAACAAACAAATGAACTTCTCATAAAGCAAGATTTCTAGAAATTACTTAGCAACTTTCAAAGCACTTTTTATTAAATTAGAAGCTACTTCTCTTAGTTTAGGCTTTAAAATATGCAGCAGCCTACCCCTGCCACCTTTATATAAGTCTTGGATTTTTTATTTTTTATTTTTGTTTGAGCAAATATTATTTGGCTATTGAGCCAATAATATTTTGTACACTTTAAAATATCTGTCAAAATGAGGTATCGGGCCTTTGGTGCTTCACAGTTAGTTGTTAGCTTTTGGACCACAACTGAAAGCTGAAATATGCCTCATGTTAGTCCAGTTAGAGCACTCATAGATGTATGGCAGGTGAATACGATAGATACTTAGTGATCCAAGATAAAGGTTCAACATTAAGGGTCTTTCAGAGTGCACTTATGGTCATGGATCTGTGTAAGGAATTTATCACACAAAACATGAAAACCTGAAATAACAAGTGCTGCTCCCCATGCACCCAAGGACTTCTCACTGAAAGAGTTAGCGTTTCATGATCTTCATTCTCTATTTCCAAGACCGGCGATGATGGATTCCCCTCTTGTTTTCCTGCCCTTATCATATTCTATAATTTTATAATGGTTCATTACAACAGAGCAGTATTCAGGATTTGAAGCATTTAAAAGTGTTCTTCTACTCATGTCTTCATAAGATTTAGTAAAGGTCAACCTTGGAAGCTGTAGCCTGACATGTGACTTCTGAACTGTCTTCCCTGAAAGCTAATTCAGACCATCTACCAAGAAAACCTACCTCAAGATAGCTGCTTCTGCACTTTTGGACACAGAATAAAGAAACTTTTTTAACAATAGCAGAGCAGAAAAACAAAACAGTAAACCTGAGATCAGCTTTTACATGGGAATCACATGCTAATCGCACTATCCCTGTTTCAGGTTTTCCAAACCTGTAAATAATGAAATAATGAGCATCCTGCTCCTTGCCAAAAAAAAAAAAAAAAAAAAAAAAAAAAAAAGCTTAAAGGACACATCAGGAGCAACCTTTCTTCCTCTCTCTATATACAGGAACATCCATAGTTTCATGTGTCGGATTTGCTGTTGTGCACACAATGCATGTGATACTGGTGTCCTTACAAGGAAAAGAGGGCAGTTTATGAAATTTGTTTCTTCTCCAAACATCAGGAAGGATTTCCAATAGTACTGAAGGCAGCTCCCTACTCTAGGTGCCAGAAAGCAGATTCAAAGTCAGTCTTAATAGCCCTAAAAAAAAAAGTTTCTTGTCATCAATATATTATTTTTGAAGTGTAATGATAACACTCTGTAAGTCACCATTGTTCAGTGTTGTCAACATTGTTCATCACTTTTCTAACTTCAGTTAAATCTGAAATCTGAAATAATGAGTATCCCAAGCTAATATGCTAATTGGCCTATTATTTTCATGAAAATGTATATTTTGAGAACCTACAGATGGAAGATCCTGTTAGGTCATCTATTCTCCATCAATAAAAGTACATTTCTTTCAAGATCAATGACACCATTTCATAGTTTCAACACAGGTCATGGTGAAAGAGTACAGGAAAATCCAGGATGGCATTAGTATCTACATGAAAACAAAGCAGCAAGCACTTCTCTGCTTTGCTTGTAGGAGCAGAGATGTATCAGAAAACTTTTAGGAACATTAGTGGATGTGGCTTCCCATGCTGGAAACCAGCCAGCACTCAGACATCCATGACCATCACTGTCTTCTGTTGTCACCTGTCTGAGTAGTACAAGCTATGGTCTGCTGCATATTTTTGGTAGGATTTATATAGGCTAGAAATCAGTAGTACTGTCCTGCTCTGCTAAACATTTATATTTATCTTCACTGCTGTTCAGATTTCTTTCCTCTTCATTCTTTCTTTTTTCTTGATGTGGTCTCAATGTTGCTGTTGCTATTGCTGATGCTGCTGCTGTGCTTGAATCAGGAACAAAAACATGACTTTTCCTAGCTATCTTTCTTGCAGTTCCTGCTCTCATCAGACTGATGACACAGCCTCCAAAGCAGCAGTTCTGGACCTTACATTGGCAAGACTTGAAGGTGCAGTACAAACACACCATAAAGGGAAAGAAAGGAGTTTGTCGATAGTACTCTACTCTGCTTTTCACTGGACACATTTTAAGCTGATGGAAACTGGCTGCAGAGCTTGAGTAACAGAATTTACCCCATCCAAACTGGAAGTCAGAGCAGAGGAGAGGAGCATCAGAAATATAATGAAAATCTTTACTAAAAATGTGAAGAGGAGTCCCATTTGGGGGTAAATATTTGTGGACTAAACCCTGCTAGCCTTAAATGCTTTATGAGTTTCTGCAAAAAGAGAACTGAAACTCATCATTGATTTAATTTCTTTACACAGGAAGATTATGACTAATGTTTTCTGCTATGGAATTACCAGTGTATGTGGTTTAGTGTTCCCTACAATTGTTACATATCATTTCATGCCTCTTTCTTTTTTTTTTTTTTTTTTTTTTTTTTTTTTTTTTTTTTTACACAGAGAGCTTGAAGGGTCTCTCTTTGCTGCGTTCTAACTCATTTTTTTCATTTTTTTCTTTTTTCTTTATTTTTCCTTTTTTTCCTGACTACACATAAGTAGATTCTACTTCTAGGTGAAGGGAGTATTTCCCTCCTCCCCTCTTCCCAAAAGAAAAATAATATCACTGTCCTTCAGAAAGCTCCCTGCAATCTGTAAGAGATTAAGGACACATTGTATGCAGGAACGAAGTTATCGGGAATTATATCAGGCAGTGGAAAACAAAACAAAACAAAACAAAACAAAAGCTGATCTGAGAGACTGCAAGGCATCCAGCTCCTTGTATAGTAGGGAAACGTGTCCTTTCCGCACCACTGAGGAAAAGAGTTGAAATAACTATTTGAAAAATAAGGAAAATTGCTCCTCACCTCGTCTTAAAACAATAACGAGATTAGGTACTCATCATTCTGAGCTGAAGCTTTAGGAAAATATTTGCCCCCTTTTCACCTCTCAGACTGTCACAAAATTCTTTGCATGTTCTGTTTCAGAAAACCTCACAAATAATGGATAGTTCCTTTCAGAAATTGCCAGTAACACCCCATTCTTCCCAGGTTTTCAGAGCTCATAGTAGTGGCTGCATAGATGAGGCCATCATGAGCTAGAGACATCATCAGCACAGAACACTGTTATTTATTTAGACTCTGAAAACGAGCCTTCGCGCTTATTTTCCTAAAATAATTAAAATGCATCACTTCAGTCCCTATTTGTTCAAAAAAAAAAAAAAAAAGACGTGGGAGCATAAATGTTTTGGCTCTGAGATGACAGTAAATATATCTTCATATCATGTTTTTATTTTACCATCTTAACGCATCCATCCTTCCTAGCCTCTTCCCCTCCCCCACTAATTCCTGAAGTGTTTGAAGGAGTCCTGGAGCCTACAATCTCTCTTTCTCCCCTCTTTGCAGCGGAAGATCAAATGTATTACTTTCTCCTCTTTGCATGCCTGATGACGGGATAGAAACATTGTTTCACCCGAGATTTACGGGCCTGCGTCTACAATGATACCCTGGGAGAGTGCGCCAGCAGCCCCCGCTGCTCGGAGCCGCAGGAGGCTCTGCTCGTCGGGGTCAAACCCTAGGCAGGGCAAGCGCTGGGGCGCCCGGTCCGTGCTGCTGCCACGGGGCTGCCGGCGGGCACGGCTGCGCATCACCCGTGGCTTGCCCTGGATCGATGAGGGTGTAATTTTTTTTTTCTGTTCGTTTATTTGTTTTTATGGTTGGTGGTTGGGTTGAGTTGGTTGTGGGTTTTGGTTGGTTGTGAGTTTTTTGTTGCTCGTTTTTTGTTGTTGTTGTTGTTTGTTTAGGGTTTTATGTTTGTTTGGTTTTTGTTTTAATCAGGCAAAGCAGGTTGAGGGGCCAGCATCCCAAATTCCTGCACTGCTGTCTGGATACAGTGGGAAAGGAGTTTCTTGAATTAAATCACGGGAAAATACACACATATATAAATAAATTAAAATCTTCCTTCCCCTCGAAAGCTAAGAAATGTTTGTTATTTACACGTTGTGCAAGGAAGCTGGCTCGATATTAAATTAAGGAGGGTAACTCCAGCACTGCTGGTGATGTTCATTTGCAATTCCTACACACTGGCTATTATGTGCAGTGAACTAATCCTGCCTTGCCTTGGAAACAGAGCTTCCACTTAGCTCACTACGCTCCTCAGATTTCCCTTACAAGAGAGCCGTTGTTTTGCTGGGATTTTATGATTAATAATAATAATAATAATAATAATACATAGAGACCTGAACGCTCTCTACACTTGTATAGATCTTCCCTCTTTTTTCTCTTTTCCTGGCCTTCTCTCTTCTGAACTTTTGGGGAAAGTGGGCAGTGGACGCTGGGAGCACCCACGTTCCATTTCTCCTCCCTGTTGCTGCTGCCCGGGGTGAACACCGACCGCCGGCGCTGCACGACTGCCAAGCCCCTCGCACCGTGTATCGGTGTCGGGGCGCAAAGGAAAACTTGGTTTAACCGCATCCTATTGCCGGGTGCACCCCTGGGAGCGCCGGTTGCATCGCAGGCCTAGGCAGACCCATGCAAGGGTATGGGTCTGGGTGCCGGTGCAAAACGATGGAGGCACAGCAGCCCCCCGCCCATGCACGAAGAGCACCCGAAAGCGACCCCGCAGCCCCGGGCCGGGTCAGAGCCGGGCCGAGCAGGGCCGGGCCGGAGCGGAGAGGCCGGAGCAGCTCTGGCCGCCAAATTGAGCCGTGCTCGGAGCGTTTATTGGCACGGCGGCAGTACAGTGCGCGGTCACAAGCAACGCAAGACGGACGGGCTCGGCCACTGCAGCCTTCCCAGCGAAGTCCGAGGGAGGAGCGGGAGATCTGCACCAAGCTAAGCGAGGAATTAAATGGGGTTTGCAGCCCTAAGGCTGTTTCATGCCACCCCCTCCGCGTCCTGTCCCATCCCCAAGCCTGGGATGATCTCTGCGTCCCTCCGACGGCACTGCGGTCATCGAGGAGCCCGGATGGACCCGGGGAGACGTTCGGGACTGGCTGCGGTGCCCAGCGCTGCCCTGCAGCCCTCGGGGCTTCGGACGAGCGGCGGGGGCCCGGGGTGGGCCGGGGGCGCCTCCGCCCCTTCTGCGTCCTGCGGCTCCGCGGGTCTGTCGAGCGCAGCCGCCCTTCTCCCGAGGAGCTGATGGACTCGTGTTTACACTCCAGACAGCCACTAACTTCTCTGATCTCTCCCTCCCAGCCCCCACTGCTTTCCCTCCTCGCCCCCCTCCATGTTTCTTTTTGGTTGTAGCGAACAAAAAAAAAAAAAACACGCGTTTGGTGCCAGCACGCCGTCCCGCTCTGCCATCGTGACCACGCAGCCCTCGTCCATCACGTAGCCTTCTGCCGGGCAGTTCCCCGCTCTGGCTGGCAGGCGGTTCTCGTCGCGGCACCTTCTTCCTCCACAGATACCTAATCAGGGAGAGAGCACATCCCAGGCACAGCCGCAGGCGAGAAAGCCCGGCCTCCCCGCCCCCCTTCTCCCCCCCACCCCCGTGCTCGGAGCTACCGCCCTTCAGTCCCCATGGCTTGGCTTTCCCAGGGCTCAAGGAAGCGCTCGGGGACTCTCGAGAAAGGCAGGAAGGGAGAAAAAGGGCCAACGTTCAGGACCCGGTGCTAACGCGGCTTCCTCGGGCCCCAAATTAAGGGTATCGATTTATTGACACATTCCCCCAGCCGTGCAGAGATAGCCCCAGACACCTTTCTGAACGGACTGGTCGCATCAGTCTCCGCCAAAGTGGCTTTGATGCCAAGGAACAATCCTGTTGAGACACTTAAGGGCACCTGAAGGTAGGCTAGGAAATACTGAACGGCTGCTTAGTGGGGAGGAAAAAATAAGAAAAATAAGATCCCAAGGACAGGCATTCAGAGCTCCTAAGAAAGCCCCAGTAAATCGCCAAGACTCTTTTTTTTTTTTTTTTTTTTTTTTTTTTTTTTAGAAGACGATAAAGGCATCTGTTTAACTCCCTTATTAGTATTTTGAAGAGCAGGAAATAAGGTAAAATCTTTAAATGATGGTTCTTGAGTCACACGGTTGGTAGCTTTTCAACTATCGGCTACTGCAAGATGTGCATGTGGCATTTTAAAAATAAACAGGAACTGGAGGCCCTAACTCCCGTGAGTCACAGTGTTTAATAACTACCTAGGCTCAGTTCTGCGTGTCTATCTGTGTTTGTGTTTCCATTGTCAAAGAACAGGGGTGTATGTTCTTCACATGTTAGATTCGCGATTTCATGTTGATTTCGACATTCCCTAACGACCCATCCCACAGAGGTGTCTAAAAGCACCTACAGATTATCTCCCATCTCTCTACGACTCTGATGTGACACACCTACCTACATTTTAGGGGTACATCATTTGAGACAGATTTACAGTTCAACCCTCTCGGCAGACAGGAGGAGAGATCTGTGTGGAATATAAATTCAAGAATGTAATTCTTTCTCAAACAAATAATCTGCTCCCTTTCAAATATAATTAATGTTTTGATAGTGCATTTCTTGTGAGAGAGAGATACAAAAACAGAGGCAACCTCTTGGATCTCTGTTTGTATATCTGCAACAGGAATTTACAGTACCTATCTTGTGAATGTGACAGATAGAGTGTTTTAAACATTTAGAAGTTTATTTATTAGCAGAACTACAGCAGGAAACTGATAGGTCGTTGCTATCCACTGTGCCCATTTTACGCGTGTTTTTGTTGCAGAGGAAATTGCAATTGCAGTAGGAGGGCATTATTCTTTCATTTGGATGAGAAATGTTGCCTAGCTCTCAGGATGCAGTCTCCTGTCCTGTTGTGTTCAGGAGCCACATGTTCTTCTGCTTTGTCTTTCATTCTCCTCTATCTTTCCTCTGTGGGGCTGATCCTACATCCCTTTTTCCCCCGCAGAGCCAAGGCAAAGCTCCCCAGTGCAGCGGGAACAGACAGCATTTCGACTTTGACAGTCTTCGCCAGTCAGACTGGCCCGCACAACGATGTGTTTCAAGTCCTACAGTCCGAACAAAGCCATGCTTGAAAATGCCCAGAACATTTGTCAGATGCTCGTTAAATACTGACATATGATCGTATGGCTCATTCGTTATAGATCCGCTTCCAAATCCTGCGGGGTGGGTTATTCTTTTTTTTTTTTTTCCTTTATTTTTTTTCCCTTTCTCTCTCTCTCTCTCTTTTCCTTCACTCCTGTCTTTCTAACACTGCTCTCAAAGTACGAGCAACGATTCTGCCGTGCTTAGGAACACGAAATGAGCGATATCCATTCCTAAAGCCTACTAGACTGCTCCTAAAGACCAGAATAAAATTGCGTTGGTAAAAATAATAATAATAATAATAATAATAATAATTTAAAAAAAACCACTGTTTTAATTAAAATGTTACAAACTCTGGAGATATCGGCTTGAGACTAAAGCCTTCTTTATGTTCCTATTCAGTTCACGAAGGGCCAGATTCAACTTCCACTTGCATCAAAAGTAAATTTCCCATTCGTACCACTGGAAACTGCACTGGGTCCCGCTTCCATCTATAGACTTAGGAATACATTTTGTCATGCCTTCTATTTTCTGTTGCCATATTAATTTTGAAAATACGAGTATTAAATGCAACTATGTTATGGAGAAATTTTTGAACAGCCTAGGTTTCCAGCTGGGGTTGCTTTGCCTCACTTTGCTCAAACTGGTATTTTCAGAGAAAGGGAAGACACACCTGAAAACGAGTTTTCACAGAGAGAACCAGACCTGTAGTTGCTCTGGAAGTCCAGCAGCAATAATAATAAGTAATATGAGCCATTAAATAATCATCCTTAAAAAAATAATAAATTGACTTAAGGAGTGGGTTTTACATTTGCAAAATAGTGCAAGGCCCTCGAGTTGTGGAGGAAAAAGACCTGGCTATTCTCATGGCAGAGGTAAACTCCATTTATTCTTTCTGGAATTTATAGTCCCTATATAGATTACTGCAGAACACAGTGTTACTTCCCCACACGGTAGGAAGAAAACTTTGACTTGGTGTGTACAATATTGTAACCACGTTTTAATTTTATGATAGGTATTCTCTGGATTTACCTTTTCTAGAAATGCCTAAAAATTCTTGCAGACACCTGGACGTAATGTCAGAGATAACCTCAGTTCAGCACAATGTTACCGATCTCAGTCACTGAGATCCAATTAATTCGATGTTTGCCTCCAGTGATCTGTGAAAAAACATACGGGGGGGAGAACACAGAGGGAAAATATTTACCGTATTATTCTGATAATATCTAGGAAAATGTCAAACACACTTTTAAATTCATTTTTTTAAAATAATAAGAAAATAATGGAAGGAGCTTCGATACCTTTTGAATATTCAAATGGTCTTTTTTTTTTTTTTTTTTTTTTTTTCGTCAAAGGCTAACATAAGGGACGGTCGCACTTACGTTCAGAAAATATTGTTATTTTTCTTAATGGGGAAAATTGGACTCCCGCGACTTAGATCTGTGGTATTTAGAACTGGGATGGAAATTGGACTGACACCACTTTGCACTTTAACAATCGGATTTCGTCAGGGTACAAGTTGTTTGTTTAACCCGACAGCTCCGTGCACCCCGTCGCACGCTTTTACACACTCATTAAAACGATTATTCACGACCTGTCGAGTGTTTTCTCGTTCATTCACAGGAAAGACTTAGCGCTCTAAGATTCAAGCGCATACGGTCAACTATACGAGGGACCGAGGGGAGAGATTACTTATCTCTGCGATCATCTGATGGGAGGCCGTCTTATCTCTACAGGTTGTAAAGCAGCAGCTGCTGGAGGTAAAAGAAAAAAAAAAAAATCACCCCCCACCCCCTTGACAACAAACAACAACAACAACAAAACTTGCCGAGAGGGAAAGGAGGAAAGAGAGGGCTCCGCCGCTCGGGCAGCACCGCGGGCCGGCCGGCTCCCAGCGCCCAGCCCGGAGCGCGGAGCCCCGCGACCCCTGGGCAGCGCCCCACGACCCCCAGGCTGCCACCCCCGGGCAGCACCCCTCCCCCCGGGGATCGTCCCCCGCACAGAGGAGAACCGCCGGGGACCGTCAGGAGGCAGCCGCGGCTACCACCGGGCCCCGGCTCCGGGGGGACGCCCGTGCCGGCGCTGTCGAAGTGGAGAAGGAAAGAGAGGGATAAAGCGGAGCTAACGAAACGGCAGCTAAAGAACATGCCTGGATCGGGGGAAAAAAAGTGGATTAAAATGTATAACAAAATATCAGCCTACTGCCGTCCTGGGAGGGGACGGCTGCAAAGCAGGTCGTCCACAGAGAGGCTGGGGAGGCAGCTTTAGAACAGATTTAATCACTAAACCAAAAAGCAACTGAAAATATCGCCTTCTTTGGAGAGCTCCGAAAATCCGAGTGCTGATCCTTTTTTCCTTTTTTCCTTTTTTTTTTTTTTTCCTTTTTTTTATTTTCTTTTCTCTCTCTCTCTCTCTTTTTTTTTTTTTTTTAATATACCCTTTCCTGATTTTTATACTCAGATTACTCCGATTCTTAAATTCCATCCAAGAGGAAACCCCAGGGGCCACTGTATTGCTGGAAAGGTGCTTCATACTGACAAAAGAAGGCCCGGAATGCAAAGCACACATCGACTCCTGCTCAGCCTCTGCGGATCCAAAAAAAATCATTTTTAATTCGGAAAATATCTAAACAGAATGCCCCTTTATTTAAATGAACCGACCCCGAATGCAACAAGGGATTTTAATCTGAAACGGTTTCCTAATTGCTCGAAAGGCAAGCACGTATAAGTAATTTGTTAAACTTATTGGATTGCAATAATCCACTATCAGGTTAGCTAAGAATGGATCTGTCAAGTGTGTTTCCCAGTCTAAGCTCTTTCTTTCAAACCAATCTGGTATAATAATTAGCAGACAAAGAACTCGAAATATGTAAGCAAATAGCTAAAGTTCTGCATAAATAAACATACTAATCAATAGCAAGCTACTCAACACTTGTCTTATTGATGAAGAGACAATCGATTTTGCTGTTCCAACCTGCAATCAGAGAGATCTGTATTTAATTATTAGTACTTCTACCTTCACTGATTTAATAATAAAAATAGAGCTAATAAATCCTACACTTCCGCCTAAATGCAAATGATATTGATGACATAACTAAAGGCAACTTACGCTTCCCAGAAAAACAAACAACTTTGCTCAAACAGAATAAACAAGCAAGCAAGAAAAGTAACACGCAGTGCTGCCTTTTCTGACGAATGCTAGAGGACACGTTCACATTCAGAAAAGATCAGGCAAATATATGCATGCATATATATGTATATATATATATATGCACACGCACATATATATAGCCAGAGATATAGATATACAGGGAAAAGATCACTGGTAGAACAACACTGAGATTTTTATTTGCTTAGTTTACATGTGTTTTTCATAGCCCCGTATGAGTGTGTATACTCTTCACTAATAAAAATACACTTGCCCTTCTATACCACTGTGATTCCCTCCTCCAGATGTACTTGCCATTAGCAGTGCGGTTCAGACACCTAAGTGGAGATTTACCTATCACCAGAATGTTTGAAAGTCAGCTCTGAGCCATGGCAAGATAAAAATATATGTCATTATGTGATGTGCGTTTAACCATATCCCTCCACAGACCTCTCGAATAATAGGTCCCGGCTTTCGTTCGTTCGGGTTCTAGTGAAAAGTCTGGTCGGGGCCGACATCCCCTTTTGGGAACACACTTGTGTGGGGATGACGGAGCTCTTCGGTTGCGTGGAGCATGAAAAGGATGCAAGTCCTCATGTAGCATCACCGGGATTTTTGCATCAAAAGCACAGTCTAGTAACCGATGCTTGTTACCCGTGTTTAACACTCAAAAGTATCGTGGCCTTTTGGGAAGCGCGGTGCTTTAGAATAAGGTTTTGCTTATTTTTGTGAGAATGCAACTTCCTTTTTTTTATTATTTATTTTTTATTTCTCCCTTTTAAGTCGTCTAGCTTTGGTGCGAAAGAATTCCTTTTTTTTTTTTTTTTTTTTTTTTTTTACCAGATAGGCAGACTTCAGCCAGATTTCTTGGAAGATACCTGTCTCCTCTTGGATACGACTAATTTAACAGACTATCTAACCTCAAATACTTGCAATCAGATTATTTCTGGGTGGGAACCTGGCAAAGAGGGGGGCGGAGAGGGGGCTTCGAGTTCCTTTCCTTCCACTGAGGAACACCGAGGGGCGAAGACTTCGGTGGAGGGCCTCCAAGTCACCCAGGAGCTCGTCGAGGCTGGCCTCGCAGCCCGGCCTCGCACAGTCCTGCCTCCGCCGTAGCCTCCGGGGAGGCACCGGGAGTGCCCCGGGCTCCTGCCGCAGCGGGGCGGGAGCGCCCCGCAGGGGAAGGGCTCCTTTCACGTGCCCCTACCTCCCTGCAAGAGGTGCCCCTGCGAAATCAATTGGAAAGATTTCGGAATGCCCCTGGGCGGAAAACAGACCCCGGAGAGCCCGGGCTTCGTGCCGCCTTTGTAGGTGGAAATTCAGGCCGCTTCGTGCGGAGAGCTTTCACCTCTCGGTCTTAGGTTAAGCAGCTCTTTGCAGCTAACTTTACAGAGATGCTTTACTCACCTTAGCGAGGGTGACAATGGCAGGCTTTCCTCAGAGTCACTCTCGTTTAGTCTTTCCTCTCAAATCACGGGTAACCCCAAGTACACTTGGAGGACTCCCTAGAGATAATTCTTTGAAACGAACTCTGCAGACAGTCCGCATTCATTTCCCCGACTGAGAATTGCAAATCCTGTCGCTTCAGGTTTAATTCACTAGCCTGATACTGTATACTGTTACACGGTCTTAAGAAAAAAAAAAAAAAAAAAAAAAAAGTTGCAGGTAGTTGATTAGTTATTTAATTATTTTGGCGGTTCGTTTTATTTCCTTTGTTTTGGGGGGGGGGGGGGGGGCTTTTTTCTTTTTCTTTTTTTTTTTTTTTTTTTTTTGTTTTGTTTTGTTTTTTGTTTTCCGGGTTTTCACTGTTTTATTTTTCACTGGTGGAGGGGGAGGTGACTTTTCCTATACCTCTCCTGGATCGGACCATCCTCAAGCAGGCCACGGGAAGATGACTTTAACCGCAATTGCCTACTTCACCGTGTATCTCTCGGTGGCTACCAAGACGCAAAGCTAAGCCTGCGCGGAGAAGGACGCTTCCAATTGTTCCTCCCATCCAAAGGGGAGGGAGGGGGCATGGCCCCGACTCCTCCACTCCCCAACGCCGGCCGCCTGCAGCACGCAGGTTAACCGAGCGGCAGGTGAGCGGCGGGCCTCCGAGGATGCTCCGGGCACTTCTCCGAGGCTGCTCGGCTTTCCGCCGCCAGTTCCCCTGCTCCGGGAGAGGCGGCCTCCCCGCAGCTCGGTATCCGGGCCCGGGCCTCTCCCGCTAGGCAAGAGCGCCCCCAGCCCGCGGAGCGCCGCCGCAGCGCCGCCCGCCGCCCCCCGGCCAGCACGGCCCCCGCACCGCCCCTCGGACACGCGTGTCCGGGCCCCGCGACTCTGTTCTGAGGCCCCTCTGTCGCTATGGGCCCCTCTGTCATCATGGGTCCCAGCTCAGCGGAGAGCGGGGAGGCAACCGGCGCCCCACGCGTGCCCCCCGAGAAGTCTCTGTGCAGGTGTGAGCCGGGCCGGCCACACGCCGGGGGTGGACTGAAAGCTGTCGCCTGCGTGTGCTGCGTCCCGTGAATCGCCTCACTTCCCGCACAGCTAACGTAGTCAGGGACAAGGCAGCGTTTGCCCTCTCGTTGAGGTGTCTCATCTCACGGCAGCTCGGAAGATTTAATTTGCGGTGTATTAGAAATTAATTATTTTCACGAGGGTACACGTGACAGGAGCAGTAGAGTTCAAATCACTCAGCGAGTGGGCCACGGACCTTTGTTATTTCCCTTGGCCGCTTCGGGACAACACAAACCGGGACGAGGGGGTCCATAGAGGGCCCCGTCGCCGGCGTCCTGCCCACGCACCGCACGCCTGCCCCCATCCGCAAGCACGTCCGAACTGAGCAAATCAGTGCTGCAACTCCCGTTCCTACCCCGAGATTTCGGCTGGTGGCACGGGAGGGAGCCGCGGTGCAGCCGCGAGGCGGGCAGGGAGTTTGGGGAGTGGGCAGACAAAGGCAGTGCCTAGACATTTCAGAGGAATCTGCGCGCTTGTCGGGTCGCTAGCTCCGGAGCAAAGCTTTATAGGTACGGCTTCCTACAAGGTCCCTCTCCCCCGGCTCTCCCAGATTGCTGGCATTTAGTCGCTTTCCTGACAATCTGGGAGTATTAACACTATTTACATACCGCCGGAAAGGAGAGAAAAGCCCGTAGCTTTTTCTCGAATGACAGGGTCAGATGGAAAAAAATAATAATTTTCAAAGCCACATTCCTTACAGATCCCGTCCACGGCCACCGTCCTAAAGCCGCCTTTGAGAGGGCGGCAACAGAGAGAGCAGCCCGCCTCGACCCGAGCGAGAGGCGGCGTAGCCCCGTGGGCACCCCCGAGACGCCCCCGGGCTCAGCCGGGGCCGAAGAGGCAAGCCCGCTCCGGGGGCGGCGGGGGCCCCGCTCCCCCCATCCTGAGGGTAGCGGACACACGTAAGAGGAGGAAAATCCGCACTCACCCGGTGCCGGCGGAGGACTCCCGTCCCCAAGTGCCATCGTGCGCCTTTGTCGCAGGTAGAGGCAGTACCTCCTGGCATCTTAAAAGAAGCAAACAGAACATTGCACCCGGGTGACTGTCTGTGGCGTTAGGGTCAGGCAAGCAAACAAAGAGCACGTTAATAAAATAACCAGAAATGTCGAGAGAAAGCGGGAGAACTGCTAAAGCGGCGAAGAAAACTTCCAATTTACCGATCGAAACGAAAGAGCCCGAGGGGGAGGGGGAAGGCCGGGGGAGGAAACACTTTAAGGAAGAGACAAAAAAAAAATCCTAACATTAGGCACACACAGTTCTAGTGTAACCGGTGCTTTGAAACTCTGCTTCGGTTGCACGGGCGATCTGCTTATCAGGGGGCACGGGGAATCAGTACGTTTAGACAGAAGTCTGTCATCTCGGTTCGCTCAGATCCCACGGATCTGTCTGCCGGGAGAAAGAGTAGTGAAGGTTTTCCTGAAGTGCACCTACCCTTCTGGCGGGAAGGCTCGCTGGGATTGCTGGGCAGGTTTCTTCTGGAGGGTCCCATCTCTCTGGAGTAGCTGCAGTGGAGTTGAGGGCAGGTTCTCCGGTGAGGTAGGAATGTGCAGGAACTCCGCCCTCTGGGCACAGTCACACAAACCCAGCAAAACAGCCACAGCCAGCCCTAAAACCTCTAATGATCTTCACCTTCACCTCTCGCTAACCCAGTTTCTCCAGCACTTTTGACCCATTTACCCAGGCACCTTCACCGCGGGGCGGGGGGGACCGGGGGGAGTGAACAACCCCAGAACTGCTCGGGGCGCCGAGCTGCCCAGGAGCTGCTGCAGCCACCAGTGCATGGACCGACGGCTCTGCAGGGCTGTGTAGACACATAGATTTCTTTATTTCCACCCTTTGGGCTCTCAGGGCACGTAACATGTATGTGCATGTACCTTCTCTCAGGCGGCCGTAGTGTAAAAACAAGCATACAGCAGTGCCTATCGACAGGCACATTTTGCAAGGGATTTTCAGAAGGGAAAATTCAGGGATATAATCCCTACGTCTTGTTCGACGTTGGTTCTTAAGCAAAACTCTTCTGTGGTTAAGTCTGAACGTAACTGGAGTTCAGTGGGAGTTTTGCTTGAGCGTACAGTGAATACGTGGTGATTGAGACCTCGTATTAACACAAGTGGTGAGGGGGTGTGTACCTGAATCATAATTCCTGACATAAATCTTAATGATCATCAAAAGAAGGTATAAAGAGCAAAATGACGTCCCCGTTAAACTATTTTTTCAAGCAACGCATTAAAAAATCTATCACTCCCCCAAACAGGAGATTTGTGCCATTTAAGGCAAAATATATAATTCTTCATTGTCTTTTAAACACTTGCGTAAGAATACATTCCACGTAAAAGATATTCTTTTATTGAAACAAGAGATTTAAAAAAATATATATGTCAAAAATTAGTCGAGTAAATGTCCTATGGTGGATTCGAGTTACAGTTTATATAACATGTTTGCGGATGCAATCTTAAAATCTTAAAATTGGAGGTTTCTTGATAAGCAGATTTCTTCTCCTACGATCTATGCAAGCAGTTAATCACCTCAAACATCAGCTACAAAAATAACAATAGCTCCTTAATTCCATAAAGACCACCCGTCCCCCATAAACATCCTAAATTAGGAAACACTGAAGAAACGATGCTAAGATGCAGCAATGTTCTAGAAATGCATATTAATAAAAATAAATAATCCTGAAAAGACTAGGACGAGGATTTGACACATAAAGCACCATGGAAACAAGTATCAGATAACATAATTACTCTTAGATTAGCATAATAAAATAAAATAAAATAAAATAAAATAAAATAAAATAAAATAAAATAAAATAAAATAAAATAAAATAAAATAAAATAAAATAAAATAAAGACTTGCATTCTCTACAGAACGAACCTGTTTAAAGAAGAGCTTAAATGATATTCTCAGCGAACAAAAGGGTAGCAGGCAAAGGTAAAGGCATATTTGGGGCCTTGGCAGTCCTGCTACAACCCATGACAACTTCAGCATTTTTTTTTTCTTTCCAAAGCCAGTCTCTTTGCTGGTAATGTGGGTATAGAAAAGTGAATAAATTACCAGCCCAACCACCACCCCTTCCCCCAGAGTAAGGGAAAGAGGTAAAAGCGTGTGGCACCTGAATTGCTTAGGCAACACTTCGCTGTTCTAAACCTAAAGCAGAGCACTAAGAGTGAGAGTTTACTGAAACGAAGTCTGGAGAGACATACATCAGGGCTACCCTTTTCAGGAATTATGATGCATCACGCTTATCTAATTAATGTTTATTAGCCAACCCAAAATTCTGACATGGTGAGATTGTGCTTTCCTCCAACCTGACTTCTCTTCTTCCTCCTTTTAGTACACTGTCAGCAGATTTTTTCACATTGCAAACTAAATAATACTTTAAGTATGTGCTATTGAATTTCCTACAGTATACAACCAATTGGAAGTAGTAAATAATAAATCATTTCCTTTGTCAGCTGTAGCAGATGCCATTCTTTACATTTGCTTGGGCACAAATATACAGAATGGGGTCTAGGGACTTCAAGAGTTTAAATCACACCTATTTCATTTTATTATTTCCAGTAGGTTTGTTGCAAAGGAGGCAAAATAATTTTTATTTATTTTTCATTTTTTGCCATCACTTATTTTAATGACAATAGAGCGAAGAATGTGGGGGAGGGTAGGTGCTTCCAAGTGGTGGTATCATCTCTACATCCCCAAACAAAGCAACCTTTTTCACATAGCGATGATTAATTTTGAATTGTAGAAGTGAGAGTGAAAGCCAAGAATATCAGAGATTTCTCTCCTTCTCCCCCACATAGTGCAGAGCTGGGTGTCCCATCTCTCATCCATAACCTTTCACTCCTCTCTCTTCCCTGCAGATTTGCTTGCATCTGTTTATTCATTACCTATTTTCGGAAGATTTCTTCTCTCTCCCCTTATTCTTTCAGCATGACAAATATTCTCTTTGCAAGAATTCAGATTTGCTATTTTTTTCTGTATTCACCCCCGGTATTTTTTTTTTCTTCCTCTTTTCTGCCTTTCTAAGTCCAGCTTTTTAAAGCGTTTGCGATAACATCTTCGAGCTAGAGATTATTTTTCATGGGGCCTATTGTGAGCAGTCGCCGGCTTATTGCATTGCTGCGGAGCACAGTTTAGTCTACACAAACGTAACAAATGAACAACTTGTCCTCTGCGGACTCGCTGCGGGATCCAATTAGTTGTTAAATCTTTTGCACAAGTTTTCTAATTATTTTCCAGAGTCGTGGCTTTTATAGGGCTCCCTAAACTCTTCAAGAAACCAATTCTTTTTAGGATTAAATGCTTCTTAAAATTAGTCATCGCGTTGCCTCCTTTAAAACTAAGGGGCGATTCTCCGGGCAGCCGAATATACTTACACACGTTTGCATGGGCTAGCGGGTTTCAGCCAGCCTTCGCACCGGCAGGCAGACAGGGAAAAGAGAAATCCATTCCCAAACTTGAAATTTAAGTGCATCCACACTTTTTTTTTTTTTCCCCTCTCCATTAAGACCTTTAAACATCGGTATGCGAGCACGGCATCACGTGAGCCGCAGCTCCCTGCCCCGCCGCCCTGCAGCCCCGCAGCCCCAGCCCGCAGCCCCCCGGGTCCCCAGCCCCGCATTCCCGCAGCCCCCCGGCCCCACGGCCCTGGCCCGGCTCTCGTCGGCCGCAGGGCGAAGGGGGCGGAGGAGGGAGGCTCCGGCTCCCAGCGGCAGCCGCCTGCACAACCGTGCCAAGCCAAAGGGTTTGCAGCATGCAAAGGCTCTAAGTACAGAGAGTATAGACGCTTCCGGAACAGTGTATCTTTAAGATAAGGATTGCATTTAATACACATACGCATCATAGCTTGCCAGATTTGATCAAATAATTATAGGAAAGCTAATATGTATATGTATATACACACACATACACATCCATAGTTAATAGAGCTTCAGTTATCATACAGTCGAAACGATTTCCTTTCAGATGGATAACCCATTCAAGCCATTGCAAAGACTGAAAGAACAACATGCACTTAGGAAATAAATAAAGTACCTGTACTTTTTCCAAACGTGTGTATATATACTCACGTATGCATGTACGTATATATATGTATGTAACTATATACATACGCAGTTTTAAGCATCTTCAGCTTAAGACAAAGTTTTTAAGCAAGACACCCTACCTCGTACTACCAGTTCTCAAGCAGACCCGATGAGAGTCCTGCCCCAAAACGGACATCACAGTAGTGGCCGTGGTGTTTAATTAAATACCCTATTTCCCTGCTCTTTTATATTTCAAAATACCGTGGTTAAATACAAAGTGATTGGGGGAGAGGAAGGGGGGAATGAGCATGTGAAAAATGGTGGACTACTGTAACAAGCAGCGCTCTGATCTCCCTACAACTTTAAAGCCTCAGGCGTATTAATTTTAGTTAATAAAAGAGACAAAAAAACTATCAAGTATATATGAATTTAGCCTATTTTTTTTTTATTTCTGTGTGTTCATAGTAAACATTTTTGTAAGTGACAAACACGGGCATATGACCACAGTATCACAATCAAGAAATTTTAAGACGACATTAACAATCACTCAAATTTATGCGGCATTTGCGCAACACAGGTTACATATTTGCAAGGTTTACCTATAAGTACAATAGGTATTAACATTTCACTACATTTAGAAAAAAAATAAAGGTGACCTGTTAGTGACCACATACATCAAAATATACACAACACAAACTGAAGGCAATCATTAATTTTGTCCCCTTCTGATTCATTTGAACGGGCAGTGCTGCAAACTGAAATAATGTTGCTGTTTTTAAATTACTCCGTACACTGAGTGCATTTTCTAAAACCCAATCTTTGGTCTAAAAGTAAACAAACAAACAAACAGAAAAAAAATAAAAAGAAAGGAAGAAAAGAAACCCCAAAAATAAGAAGTTCGGTAAAGAAAATGATAAAATATTAAATGGCCAAAACGTAGTTCTTGGGCATCTTTCAGGATGAAATTCTGGTTAAATACAAA